AAACCATAGGCAATGGTATATTCTGGAATATTAAAATATCATGAATTACTGTAAGTGAATGCTTCAATAATCATAGCCTAGGTATTCTAATTAAAAGAAGATTATTGATATTTCTTGCCACGACTAAACTGTGACATTTTGTGCATCCTGTGAGGGTTTCTTAGATACTGAATACCTGCCCATAGGATTTCACTGCATGAATCTGTAATTGAAGGCCTAACAACTTCATTTCTGTAAAAGGGTAAAAAAATCCTAAATGCATTTGCACACCTATAGCACTTGAAACTGCTTAGTGCTGAAAACATGAGGCACAAAGAAAAATATATCTCCTTCTGACAAATGAGTGTGAAATGTGGATTTTTTTCAGAATCTAAAGGCTGCTGCACCTGTTGAAGGCTTTCAATTATGAATCCTTAATTAAAATTAATATCAAATCTATGCGGTTCCACTAAGTGTACTGACTGTAAAGTGTTTTTCCAGCTGAATTACCTTTTCACCCTCATATTGCTTTTGGTCTACCCAGTGAAGATTTGAAAAGATTGACAGTCTTTTATTTGCTCAGTTTCTTGACTTTCTGTCATGAAGCTCCATTGTTCTTTTCTTCATATCCTTTCTTAGGGCACTTAAATTAGTGGTTTGATTTTATTCATCATCTGACATTCATTTCCAGTTTAATACCTCAATGAATAAGAGCAAAAGCCAAGGCATTCTACATGAAAATTTTGAGAGTTTAAATAAACAGATCAATTAGAGATGGAACAAGAAGTTTTATAGGTCTTTTTACGTTTACATCAACTAAGAGCCAACATGGGTTGATGGAAAATTTGATGCACTGCCAGCTGAGTTGTGTAATGTAGATACTGCCAAGATTGGATATGTTGGGCGACTTTTTTTTAGAAAACACTTGCTGTCCATTTTAAGGCTTAGCCTTGAAAAAATGGATTAGAGTATAAATCTCCTTTTTTTTTTGGAAGCAGTGCCAAAGTAATTGTTTATAAAAGAACTCTTATTAATACATGATCTAAAAAGTGTGATAAAGAAAACTTAACACACTGTATGGGTTGAACTGAAGCCCCACTGAACCTAAAGGCTTTTCTTAGGACAGCAAGGAGGTGGCACTTAATCTGTAGAACAGATATGATGTTAGCAATCACAAGAGTCAAGAAAAGCCTTGAAGCTTACTGTTTTATGCATGTCTCAGTGTCAAGCACGCACTGCAGTATTCATGCCAAAAACAACTTTATCCAAATTCTGCCCCCTCTTCAATCTCCATAGTAACTGACTGTGTTGATGCTGCACCATCTGTAAGAGATTACATACTGATATGCATGCTAGCACATTACTTTAAGCCACACCATTACATAAAGAACAAAGTCTTCTACCTCTGTAAAACAAGCTCGTATTTTCTGAAAATATTCCAAATTTACAGAGAAGTTTTAAAACTAACAATGTCAAATGTACTGCGTAAAGCACAGTGAACTCCAATACAGATTTTACAGTATAACTTCACCTGGTTGCTGATTGCGATTTTGAGTGTCATAGTGAAACAAACCTCCAACTGCTCTGGAACACGTTAATGCCATAAAAGACATATTACAAAATTAAATGGAGTATACTTACGTGTATATAATAAATACCAAAAATTATGGGCATCCTCAACTAGAGAATTAGTTTTTCAACACACTAGAGTCACTTTGGAAAAAAATGAAGGTACGTTGGGTGTTGTAGTAATGATGACGATGACCACAATAGTTGCTTTTATAGTATGTGCAAAATACATACTTTTCAATATTAATTAAATCCTACCTTTATTTGAAATATATGGCAAACAAAATGCACTTTAATGGAAAATAACTCTCTGCATTGTGGGGAAAAAAAATACAAATCCAACTGGACTCTTATTCATAACGGACTACGGTTCAGATCAAAGTGTATAGAAGCACATATTGAAAAAGTCAACAATAATTCTGCCCAATAATACAAAATGTGCAGCCTTTGGTCCTGATACCCATGTTAGAACACTTTGATTCCAAAATACACTGGGTTATTTTATTCAAAAACTGGGCTTATGTTGCAAAGACGTTGAAGCTTAACCATGAATGAACTTTCCTGTAGCATTTGAACACGTAATAGGTGTATTCCATGCTGAAAAGAGAAGGAAAAAAACACAACGTTTCTGCTGTGGAGCGTTCTTCGGGTGTAAGGTGCCTTTGCAGCCATGCATGCTAACACAGCTACCCACCTGAACTACTTTCCTGTAGTATATTGACCTGAAGAACACTAAACTTTACTGGGGAAGACTATAAAATAGAGAAAGGATGAAGTGGATGTGAAATCAGTGTTATTGATTTGAAGAGCATTAAACTCTTCTTTGTCCTAAGTGTGACCCCAGATAAAGCATTTGATATTTGATAACAGTCAAAACCAAGAGGTGTAAAACTGTACAGCAAACTGAAGAGTAGTCATTTGTATTTTTTTTATTTTATATAATTGATATTTCCTCTAAGAATATTCCTTCTGAAAATATTTGGACAACTTCTAACAAAAAGCTGTTAATATGTAATTCCTTAGCTTCAGCTTAAAAGTTACCTTATTCACTACAAATATGTTTCTTGTGTTTTAGTCTTAAATAACTGTACAGAAAACCTCTTATTGAAGGAACAGTAAGAAGACTAAAGCATAACAAACTAGTAAAAAAGTAAATCACCCATGTGCAGAAAACGATCTTATTTGTTTCAGCACTAAATTTAATCAAAGCAACTGACCATTAAGATAACCTCTTGAACTCTTGTGGTACCATGGGAAACTCACTAAACCATAACGATATCATCACTACAACCTTCCCAAAGAAAAATATAATGTGCAAAGGGAATTTAACGAACAAACTTCAAAGCAACAGCTGCAGTGATTGAAGTCAATGGTTCTTCCACATTTGCATTTCAATACCTCACCATTAAAAATCTGCAGCACTCAGTCGTGGAACTAATGCCGGCTTTTTCTGGAATGTTGCAAAACGGGATCCATTCATGCTAATTTTACCTCAGTTTCCCTCACCTTCCTTACCTCTCTAACGATTTGCAACTCTGCAATCAACATATGAATGAAGCCTATTTACAGCACTAAGCAGTTCCTGGTGACAAGACGATAAATAACACACCTGTGTGTGTCTAAGCCTTTATGAATTCTCAGTGTTGTGAAAGCATTTGAACATTGCAACTTATTGAAGGTCACGATGTTTATTAGAAAATCTGGATTTTTTAACAAATCTATCAATGAGGGCAGCGATTATAGTCTTTAAAGTACTGATCTAGAGATCATTATATTTAAAAATATAATAGTCTGCCAGAATAATGATAGCAATAGAAAACAATAAAACTACGGGTAATACAATTAAAAAGGAATACATTCAAGATGTTCTCAAATCAAATTCACTTTCGCAAAAATATACATTTGGGGTTATATATTCCTTGATTGAAACGTATTTAACTCAAAGTTGTCCAATATACAGTGTACTGTATACTATAATGTATACAATACACAGCATAAATATCTAAAGAAATATTCACTTTTCACTATTGGTTGTATGTATATCTTTATTTATACCTCACACCTGAAAAAGGCTCCACGGCCGAAATGTTGTGTTTTCTTTCTTTTTTTTTTCCAGCATGGAATAAACCTATTACTTGCTCCTGTACTGTATATCTTTAGTATGTTCCTATGCTAATAACCTCTCCTAACATTCTGTTACCTATGGACAACGTCTTTAACTGAAAACTGAATATAATGACATGCAAATAACACTTCCATTAGGAAAGGCTGGATTCATACAAAGCATTTCTCTTAAACTTATTTTGGATGATGGATAAATAAAGACAATAATAAAATATCCTTCAAACTTCAGACTGACGGGGACTGCCAAATATGTAAAGAGAGATTGCTTAAATAGGTTAATTAATGCCTCACTTACTTAAGGGGAAATACAAGTGAAAATGCAATTAAAATAAACTTGAACAAGGAGCCAATTTAACTTTGTCAAATCTTTATAAGGGAATTAACCTATTTTGTTACTTGGAGATCAACATAACAAGATGGCTTTGTAGAGACACATTTACAGAAAAAACACTGTACAAGTAACCATTGCTTCTGTTACGTGTTTGATGTTTTAAGCATTGGTTATACAGTATCTACTTTACTGTCCTGGACACACTGAGTGTCAGTAATTCATGGTGTCACTTGTTGTGAAAGTTAGATGAATGTAATAAGTAAATAAAACATTAATAAATAAGTAGCGCTGGGATAAAGAAGCTTGCATGAAATGTTGGAAAACTATCAAAAATTTCCAGAGTTATTTCTGTCCCCTCTTTGTAGGTCACTGAATTCCCAAAGGCACTGAAACAGAATTTGTATATGTAAAAAGCATTTGACAGTGCATTTACTAATTTACTTATTTTATTTAACAAAAATATAACCAGAAGAGGTCTGGTACCAGATTGAAATGGTTAATAAAACCTCATAAGAGTGAATCTGGCTTTGGTATTGTGGAACACTTTGCTTTCTTGGAGACATCGCAAGAAATGATTTTGTGTTCCACTCCTCATTTAAATATCTGCAATCTTGAAAGGGTATAATGAACTATCTGTAGTGTATCTCATAAGCCTTTGATGTCTTAGTAACATGGACCTAAATTCCTCGGATCTGATCTTGAACTTCAACAAAGAGGTAACATTTTCATTAAGAAATTATACTCCTGTTCAGAAAATTAGATACTGCATGCTGAGATCCAAGAAACCACCTAAAATATTTACTCCCTGTGAACCGAGGGTAAAATGTGGAATGATGACCTTATGTATCTTCATGCATGAATTCCAGTTTAACCACAGTTGTATTTTTAATAAGAAAACATATTCTTCTTAAAATTACAGTAATCATGCAAATGATCATCACACACGTTTGAAAATTCAAGAAGTAGAACACTTACTGCTTGTGAGATTTGCGTCTTTACTTGTTCGCTCAATAAACCTTCATACACAAATGAGTCCCCGAACTTTTCTGCCTGAGAAAAAAAGACATTTAAGAAATATATCTTGCACACTTGCAAATAAATTTCACAGCTTATACAAATCAATAGTTTCAGCTGTCCTCACACAGGAATCATTTTGAGGCTCGGAGATATCAACTAATTGACTCCCAGTTGTATCTCAAAAACTGAAAACGCACCTAGATTTTCATGCTCAGTTAACTTTTAGGGGTAGCTTGGTGGTACAGTAGATGCTATTGCTGCATCAAAGTGCTGGGGCCCCGGATTCAAATCCAGACTTGGGATGCGAGTTTATATCTGTTCCTAGTGTTTCATGTGGGTTTCCTTCAGGTGCTCCGGTTTCCTCCCACAGCCTAAAAACATACTGGCCAGTAAGGCTTCTGGGGAAATTGGCCCTGGTGTGAGTGTGTGTCTGCCCCGCAATGGACTAGAGACCCGTTCTTCCTTGTGCCCATTGCTTGCTGGGATAGACTCTGGCACCCCCATGACTCTAAAATAGAATACTTGAACTTGAACTTTATTGCCATATGTAACTGCTACTGGTACAATGGAATTCTTACTTACAGAACGTCTCTCGATTGTAAAACAAGTGTAAAAAACAAGACAAAGTGCAAACAGTGCATCAAGACAATGTGCAAGTAAACACGTAGACAGTTTGAATGTAAACAATACAGATGTGTAAACAATGACTGGAGATGTGCAATAGATAAGAAATCATAAAGAGGTAGATGGTGATGGTGTAGGTGTGGTCCGAGGGGGGTGGCCAAATGTGTTCGCCAGTCTCACTGCTTGTGGATAGAAGCTATTGAAGAATCTAGTGGTAAGTGTCCGTATGCTCTTATATCTCTTGCCTGAGGGCAGTGGGGTGAAGAGCTCATAAACGGGGTGGTGACTGTCCTCTGTGATGGCCAGAATTCTACCACGGCAGCGGTTCTCATAGAGCTGTGTTCACAGTCCAGGTTAGATCTTTAGAGATGTGAATTCCCAAAAACCTAAAGCTGGTGACTGTTTCCACTTCCGTTCCATCAATACTGAGTGGGCTGTGAGTGTATGGCCTGTGTCTCCGAAAGTCCACTATTAGCTCACTATTACGTGGCTAGAACATGAATGGATAGGCGGTTCCCTTATTTTCTGGGGCTTAAAAACAAAAGATGGATGAACTTTTAGCAACACTGTATAATGGGTATGAAAACATGTGGAGGCTACTGTATACAGACTCTGTTTCCATGGCAGGCTATATTTCAATTGGAAAAAAAACATTTAATTCCTTCACGGCATCCATGGCAGGGGAGAGACCTTACGTCTGTCACATAGCCGGTGGCGTTGACAAAGTTTTCAAACTCCAAGTTGCTGACTTCATAGACATCCATGTAGAACTGCTGAATGTGCACTGTGCGTGCTGGGCCTTCCCCGTCCTGAGGTATTGCGGGCTCATCTGTACCCATCGTGAACTTCCCCGCTGGGATCAGCACCATCTAGAGCAAAGAGAGCGAGTACTGAAATAAGACAGCCCCATGATTACAACATGTAAATAATAATGCGCTGCACTCGACTAGCCCTTGTCACGGACACTGCATTGATTTCTGTTCGGATATTGAGACTAAGATCTAAGTATCAGGAAGACTGACAGCTTCAAACCCTACATACCGGAGAGTGATATTCCCTGGGGGAAAAAAAAAAGAAATGGTTTGCTTAAAAGAATCACCTGTCTTGTCAATTATGACATGGTGGTGTGGTAGTAAACGCAACTGCTTCACATATCACTAGCGTGCCGAGATCCATTCCAGCTTTGAGGTCTGTCTAGATGGAGTTTTCCCCCTCATTCATGTGAGTTTCCCCTGAATGCTCCAGTTTCCCCCCAGCACCCAGCTCCTCTAAATTGTGTCTTTAGTTTCGGGGACTTCATAGGAGTGACATTGTTGCCAGTGCAACCAGCACTGTCTATAAAAATTTAAATAGAACCAAATCAGCACAATGTGCTAAATCCTCTCCTCCTATATGTTACATTTCTGATGTTTGGATTGCATCATCTATTATCCATCATACAGTAGTCATAACTTCCAGTATGATGCAAGTAGCTCATCATGCGTGTGTTCTGGATGACTGGATAGACCCAAACGTTTAAACTCAAACTGTCATTTTGTGAACAATCCCAGCATTTCAAAAGTACATTGAGTGAGTTAATCTGTTGTTTTAATTCAGTTTTAGCACTACAACACCTAAAAGACTGCACAACATTGACCACAGCTCCATAATCAGAATACCGGCAGACATTTGCTTGAGATGTCACGGTCTCATGAGCTGAAAACAGTTTTTTTTTTAACAGTGAACATTAGATAACAATAAAAAAAAAACATTCACAGGTATAGTACTGGCATTGATACAACTATTCAAGACCCCAGACACCTTGTTTTTAAAAAACGTTGTATAACAGCAGATTCGCTGTATTTGGTTTCTGTTGTATGACGTTTTGTATGTATGTGACGTTGCATACTTTCACTTTTAACCACTATACACCATAGGTGAGATGAAAATCTTAGGCAGTAGTGCAATAGGATTTAAACCTGAGTTTGCAAGCCTCTTTATAGCAAAACAAAACAAAGTTCAAATGAAGTAAACAGAACATCACACTTAGATGCATGTCTGATAAATTAAACCAATGTTAAACGTTACACAATTCCAAACGCAACTTTCTGTCCCAAACTTAATCTAACATAGCGTGATGTTTAGGTAATCGATCACACCTTGTTATGAATGGCTGCAGCTTTTGCATTAACCTCATTTTGTGCCTTCTCTTCGTTTGCTTCTTTGGCGTATTTGGCACTTGCTTGTTCAGACAACGAAGAGAGACTTTCTGTGTCCGCAGTCTCAACTTCTCTGTTCAAAGATTGACATCCACAGCTTCGACCCGCCGAATTAGAGGAAGAAAGCTGTTCCGCTCTTGTTGTCGCTGATCTCTCTTCGTTTGCTCCATTGGCGTGAGATGCAAAGAAAATAGTTATTGAGAAAAAAACAAAAGCGGAGAAGGCTAACATCGTTACAACTTCCTCAGTCCTGCAGTCTCAGACTTAATCATTTCTTTGTGTGTGCAGCCATAGTTGTTTAGCGTCACATGACTAGTCAGCTGACTTTTTGTGTCCGTTCAGCATTGTTTTAATCAAAAAAGCAAAGGCATTGAAAAATCAGTTCTATATTTTGGGTTCCTCCCTTACGTGTGAACACAGTATAAAGCGATGTAACACCATTTAAAAAATAAAACACTAAGATGGCAATCTTAATGCCTGAGGTCCCAGCTAAGTGCTGTTGCTGAAGTTGTCTTCTCACTGAATTCTTCTTCCGACTGAACTTGACAGAAAAACTGAAGCTGCTTACGCGACTTGTAAAACATACTATTAAACTTGGAAAAATTAGGTTTCATATGAAACTAAAGGATTGCCTTGAAGCAGCTTGCATGCTAGTAGTTAAGATTACCCAGTTTAAAATTTAAGATACATTTTTCGATTGGCTGGTTTCGAATACTTCGGAATAATATCGAGGAAGACGCATATATTCAAAATACCAAATAATTTTGTTAATATATGATAGTTTGGTGTAATGTCGGATAATTTTAGTCCGTTTTGCAATTCTGAAATGAACGAAAAGAGCACGACAAAATAAGTTCACTTCTTTCATATAAAACTACATACACTCTTCAAGTACCTTTACTTTAACTCCTCCTCCACATAATTGGCAGTATGGGATTTGTAGTTATAAATAGTAATTCTTTACTGTCAACTTTCACTTATCAGTTGATCTATGAAACAACATTTCCCATAGTTCACTGCGGATATATAATAATCGGCAAAGAAGTGCAGCTTTGTAGTGCTCATGTGGAGGTAGTGCAGAGCGGAGTGAAGAGGGGAGGTAAAGCGCTTAAAGATCCGCCTCTTTTTTTCTAACGGGAGTTTAAATAACATGGAATTAAAGGAAAACGGGATCTGGAAAATTATCATCCACTAATTAAGGTTGAAGCGTTGCAGCTCCCAAGACCAGCTCTTCCTTGAGCGAAGGTAAAGTTGTATGCATCTCTGCAGTTTTAAAAGGCAAGCATCTTAACCTGTGTTGTTAGTATTTACTTCTCGTTTAAATGTGTTAAATTTACGACGCACCTTTCAGTCGGTGATCTCCAAGCAACCTCAGATCGCTTTCAATGGAGTTGTTACCGTCAACTTCTTAAGGGGTTCGAATGAGTTCTTGATCGTAAAGCACTAATGAATTCAACTCAAGTTCATCCTGCATGGAAGTGATTACGTTTTAGTTTTTTTACGTTGTATCAAAAATAGGCATAGAATTACATTATGGTTAAGTGATAGTAAAAATCAGAGGAATTGTTAAGATTGTATCCTTTTACGCTATGCGTAACGCTCAGGAGAACTGTTAAGGCTTTGCTTTAATAACGCAAGTATTTAGTATTCGTATCGTGTTTTAAAAAAAAACGTTTAGTCCTCTATTTAATAGATAGCATTCGTAACTCTAAAAACTAGCGTTCACCGTCACTATTGGGAATTCTTTGCGTGCAGTAGCTACAGTACCATTTGATTTTGCAGCACAGCACACCCCATTCCCAAGATTCAACGAATAGTGAAAAGTGCATACCACTGGGCACATACACTACTACATTTTCTACTGCAAAGACTCGCATGTCTGTGCTTTTAAGAGCTTCAAAATGAAGGACATGGAATAAAAGGCCTCAGGAAATATGATGTGCGTTTTTAAAATTGTAATACCCTGTTATACTTTGTGTCCCTACTGAAGCCGGCGCGGTACCGGTCTTTTTTGTTCGAGTTGTTCTTAACTTTTAGTCGCGTTCCCAGGATAGCTTAATATGTTCAGTGACAGAATATACGACAGAAAAGAGATTGGGTTATTTGTAATCATTAGCCATTGTGAGTAAAAATCATGTTAAAACTTTTCTGGTGGTTTCATAATATTAAAAATATGACGGAAGGAAGCAGCGTCTATCCGAAGAAGTAACATACCTATACTCCGAACATGTTGGCTGACCTGACATCATGTGTTTTGCAGAATAAATCCGCTTTTCTGCTTTAAAAGGCATTTTAAGTTTTGTGGACATTATAGGACGTTTATGGGTTCTAGTTAGTAGCCATACAAAAATTCGGAAAAGTGGCTTTGTAATATGAATGTGTTGTAAGCTGCTTTAAAACTGATGTATAATATTTTGAATGAAGTATAGTATTGGAAGATATGATTCATTGTCATTCCCAGCCTTAACATTCTCAAAATATCATTTTAAATACAGTGTTTTGATGATAATAGCTTTAAGTAAGGAGGAGGATAATGACATTACTAAATAAATATGAATGCCCAAATTCATTGTTTATGTGTCATTGGGAAATTAGTGAACTGTGGTATTTTGATTTCTTTTTTCAAATTTGTAATGCGCCTAGTTTTGTAAAGGGTTGGCTCTTGTTTGAAAATTGAACGACGCAATCAGATTAATTTGATAGACAAAACATTCACTGTGTCGCTGATGTACTATAGTATATTGAGCAGTCTTGGTCATAGCCTTCAACACAGGTAAATTATAGATGTGTTCTTTTGTGTGTTCTTCAATGACCTTTTGGCTAAAAAAGAAATGGAGAAAACAAAAAGTGTCAGAAACAAAGCAAACAATCAATGAATAAACGACATCAAAACATTCCCAGCATTAATGTCTGCTGAAACCAGTTTGATATTTTTAAACGGACAATTCAATTTCTTTGAGTAGCTCCCCAGTAACTAGTGATGCATAAGTGGACTGACCTCTGTATACTGCGACACAGTTCTTTTTTAGAGCACCGAATGCTCTATTCAGTGTCTTCTAATTAAGTCACTTGTTGCATTTATGTCCAACACTGTATAGCGATTGTGGCTGCCTTGGTAGAAGTAATGAAAAAACATCTGAGTCTTGAGTGGGTGAGTGGGCTGTCATCTTAGAATCAGGCACAGATCATTTGTTCATTTCTGTGCATTTGGGTACAGATGGGAAAGTATGAAGGCAAAGTGTGTGTTGTTGAATTACTGTGCTTATTTACACTGAGCAATGAAAATAAACTGTTCTAGTCGATCGGTAACGTTTAAATGTGGACACCATTTATGTGAGAATATTTATCAAAGTTTGTGTTCCTGAATGTAAGTTGCTTCTTTTTGTGTTTACAATTAATGGTCGACTTCAATAAGGCCACACACTTTTACAAGAAGTACAATGCTTTCAATTCCTTATCTTGTAGGTTTTAACTTAGGTTTTAAGCAGTTGACAGGTTAGAGGTCCCATATCTGCTCTTCTCTGAATTTTTAAAAACATACTTTCTGTATTTTAATGGTAATAAAACTCTTCCCATCACCTCATGCCACTGCTGAAGTAATCATACTTCTGCCGAAGTATCCATTCTGTAAAATCATGCAGTAGTGTGGCTTCACCAATTTACCTTGGGTAAAGAATAATGTAAAGAATAATGGTAGAGGGAGACATTGATCTTCTAAAAATAAAGCCCTGAATGAATTAGAAGAGACTGATGCAATCAGAATCACTAGCAATCTAGTGCAGGAAGCAGTTTGGATGCTGATGTCTGGTTTTTGTGCAAATGGGTATCAATTAGCTTCCCTCTGCTCTTCCTTGGATTTCAGCAGTTCTCAGTGAGAAAAATTGTGTGTGTGTGGTTTGGTACACTGAAACAGGGTCAAACAGGTTGCTGTTTATGGTTTTACTCTTCTCAGAAATGAGTTCCTGAAATACATTCAGTGCCCTCCAGATGAATTGAGGCGACAGTCAAAACTTCTTATGTACAATCAATAAATCTGCAATCATGACATTGACAGGATCTATTTGTCTAATATGATATTTTATGTTTGGGTGATTTCAAGAATACATATGATGATGGAACAGAAGCATGTTTTGTATTCATCCCAGTGATTTCAAGAGACTCTTCTCTGTCTCATTTAGCAGTCTTCTCTGGCTCAAAACCTTTTGTTTTTGACTGCAGCTGAAACCCTAGGAAGAGCAGAAACGGCTAAGTAATACCATGGCTTTACTGTCCCAACACTTTCAGAGGGTGCTGTATCCAGAATTGCTAGGGAGGCAGACTTGGGGCAGTTTTATACGGTATATCTGCAAGTGGTCTTTGGAAGTGAATGGTTTCTGGGCAGTCTGGCCTCTGAGTTCCTGCTGGAGTCTCTGACATTTGTTTTGTTGTATGTGTGTCTTCCCACACACAGTGACTCAAGCCCTGCGATGTACTGTACATCTGTGCTAGGCCTTTGGTCTTTCTGAGCAATATCCATTTCAGATTGCATACAGTCTGCTCTCCAATATGGATTTGTTAATATGAAGGTACAGTGGCTTGTAGTGTATTTGGTTTATTTTATGACACAGGGTCCAGTTCATGTTTTATTTACTTGAAGATTATTTTGAGCTAGTAAACTATAGTCAGACATTGGTGATGACACTGGGTAATTTAATACATGTAACAACATAAGAAAGGAGAGGAAGCCATCCGACCCATCTTGCCTGTTTGCCAGGCGTTGGCTAATAGATTTCAGTAACACATTGAGCCCCTTTTTTGGAAGAAACCAGAGTGTTGTCTTCATCAATGTGGCTTGTTCCATACACCCAAAGCCCTTTGTGCCTCTTTTTTCTTGTTTTAAAATACACTTTCTTATGCACCTTATCGTAGTAACAGTGGGGTCCTGACATTTTGTGAGGTTTCAGCGCATAGAACTGTTACGAATAGCCAAATTAGTATATAACCAAGTCCACCCCTATACTGGTGCATAATCTGCTCCAGTGTATAGTATATATGGTTAAAAGATAGGAGTAACCCTCCATATATGACAAAGTTAGTTAAAATAACATTGATCAATTGAAACAAATGGTCATTGCAAAACCTAATTGTAATCCGCTAAAATAAACAACATGAATCTGCGTCTGTCATTCCGCACACTGCCGACACAGAACCAGAAGCGTTCTCTACAATACAAAAACAAGAGCCCATTGAGTTGCGGGTGTTGGGTGTCGGGTACTTGGGTAGGGAGAGGCTGAATCACCAGTTACATTGATCTCACAATTAGTCTAATTTGAAAATTGTGCATGACATCCTTCGGCTTGGTTTCATCCCACTCCACAGCCACACCAAGTCACGAATAAGCAAATTTGTGAATGTTAAATTCAGAACTGTGGAGATCCTCCTGGCCTATGTTACTGAATGATTGACTAGAAAACATTAGGAAGTGTATTGTGAATTTATTGCCTTTTTGCAGTAAAGATATTTAAAGAATATGTGATAGCTGGTCATTACTAAGGAATGAAGGTTTTGATATCCTTAGGGCCTTCATTTGTTTTCTTTTGAATTCAGTTTTGGCAGAGAAATAGTCTGAATGTTTTCTCAAGGGAAATAACGTATTCAACCCAGTATACTCTCAGGACAATTAAGGTTTTAAGATTTTTTTAGATTTCTTAAGTTATTAATCACAACTTCTCCAAACAACTCAAACCCTTAATGTGGTTATATTTAGACAGCATATCATTCCCTGTCCAAGTGATGGGTTTTTTTTCTGCAAGAATATTCGAGAAAGTCCCTACTATCTATACTTTTGTCTTTTTATCATAACATTGTAAACAATGGGGAAAAGTGTGAAAAAATCCATGCACATACACAAAGATGAACACAGGAATTATAACAGGTAACAAAATTTGGTTAAAAATAAAGTTCCCCACACTGCTGACCCAGTACTAGAAGCATTTGTTACCATATCTATCGTCTTTTATAACATTGTAAGTTCTGCTTAGCTTCATATTCTTTAGGAGGGTACCTGGAACTGCATTAAGTTTGGGAAGGAACCTTCGATATAATAATCACAATCGGTTTGTGCAATAGCTTTCTGCATATTCAGCTTCCATTTAAAAGCAGTCTTAAATTTTATTTCTTTATTTGTGCTGTATATGAACGTAAGATTAAATAGTTCTATGTTCTACATGTTTTTAAACTCTTTTATTTATGGAATGTAGAATTTCAAAGGCTTTCTCTAGAAAAGTAGGTAGTTCTTCCCGAGTATTGCCAGTGTGGCTATCTTACATTTAACTTACTGTTTAGGCACATTGAATCACATTGATCATGATTTATCAAACATTTTTTTGGCAAAATTTGATGAATTTTGTATTCAAAGAATAAATAAACTTCTTAACACCATTCCATTTGCTCTTGCATATCATTTGGGTTTCGGTTCATCATGCAGAAATTAAACTTTCATTTAGCTTTGTGCCTCTTTGAAAACTGTACTGCACTTATACAGGGGAAGAGACTCTAATACTGCCTGTTTTACTATCTCTAGGCTTTTCTGCATGTTTTCTTCTTGGCCTGTCTCTAACATGTCCTGTTATTCTCTGTAGTAATACAAAAAGTTTTTGTAATTCATACCATGTATACCGGACATTTGGGATTCATCTGATCCAATTACTAAAAAGAGATATGTTATACCTTGCAGTGACTGAAAAACTGAAGAAATGAAAATTGGACATCTGTTGAAAGTTTCTGTATTTTATTACTTTATTATGTAATTAAAGGGACTTTCAAGTAATTTCAGATGCAATCTTTGTTACTTCGGTGTTATTTGTGTATGAAAGTATTTCATTTAAGTATTTTGATGTAGAGTCTTCTCATTTTAAATATGTTTGTTCTACCAAATAAGTCAATAATATTGACAAAATAATACAGTATAATGCTATTTTCCCATGTTGCACCTTTTTTAGTATTTGCAAATAAGGAAACTCACTTTCATGAATAATATTGATGAGAAATAAACTGTGAAAAAGTCTTATTTTTTTCTCTTGGTTCATGAAATGCTTCTAAAACATCATGCTTTTGTTTTTGTTTTTACAGGAGAGAAGGAGGAAATGAGAAATGTCTGACAAAATGTCTAGTTTCCTACACATTGGAGATATTGTCTCTCTGTATGCTGAGGGATCAGTAAATGGATTTATCAGTACTTTAGGGTAAGTTGTTCATGTTTTAAAAGCACTTAATAAAGGTCAACAGCCATTAGGTCCCATTCTATGTACATAAGTACCCATTTAATAGTGCCCTAGTATTCCATCATTTATGTTAGAATCATTTTGAGTAAGTTTTTCAGCAGTGATAAAGAACTGAAATTTGTGTTAAAATTGATTTTGGCCAGAGGAATTACTGTGAGGATCTTGTGATGATGATCTGTGAAGAGACCTTGTAAAACCTTAGAGCTCATTAGGCTTCAAATAGCTATATGAATTTGTCTATAAATATTTATCCTATTTCAAAGCTATCCAACAGATTGTGTTTTAAACATTGTAATATATTGGTCTGTGGTTTGAATTAACATGATGTTGGTGGCAGCGCCTCATGTTAGACGAATTTCTGAAGGACATAAAAAAATAAGCTTTGCTTCACTGAAAAACTTCCATTTTGTCAATACAAATGTCTTCAGTCCTGCCTTTCCACTGCATTTACTGTATTTAGGCACCTCTGTAACCCATTAGCCACAAACAAATGATGCCCAGTACACTTTAGTCAGATTGTTTCCTCCAACATGCACATTGTTTTGAAAAGATCTGAAGCTGTGTAGGGAGGACATTTGCTTGACATGTGTTGTCATAAACTGAAAAAGCAAGTCATTGCCTTTTCCAGCATATTTGTGTTAATATTTTAAACTAGGTGCAGATTTCAAAGTGTTATTTTGCTGCCTCTCTTCCTCACCATCCATGCTTCATTGATTCATTATATTACCAATGTGAGAAAAAGCAATTGCATTGATAGGACAATTAGTCTTTGTTTTGTATGTATTATTGCAGTCTAGCACTTTTGCAGTTGCATTTTATCCAATTTTAATTGATTTGTGTTTCTGAAAAATTGAAAAACAGACATTTTAAATAAGTTGCAAGATCTAGCATTCTGTTTCTGGATTGGCATTGTGATTTTTGGATAATTCTCAGGCCCTGGTATAGGGTTATTGTTACTATTCATCTGACCATCACACATAGTTGCCATGTTTTAATTTCAGTGCGATTCAACAGTTGAGTTTGTACTAAGTCCTTAAAAGTGGGCAAAACATGTTAGATATCTTTTTCTCTGCTTCATTCACTTTCCACAGCCAAAACCACATTTTGTTTTCTCACTACTAAATATTTATTGCCCCTCAACATATGTATTGTTATTATTTATTACTGTCTACATTGTGCAGTGTTGTCTGTTGTACTGTGTATGTCCAGAGAGATCAGCGCGATTAAGAATTCCAATGTACTTGTACATATGGCAATAAACGACTCTACTTGGAACTAACCTCTAAAGACTGGCAAGTGAAAGTGAATAAACTTCTGGATTGTTCAGCTGCTGTTTGTAAGCCCTCAGTCAGACCCTGGATAGACCCGGCATACTCAATCATCATTTCCCCAGGAATGCGTAGAAAAATCACATGGATAAATTGATTAACTAAACAGCAAAATAGTTTGTTTAGTCAACATATATCACAAAGAAAGAACAGTGCTCTTTTCACAGTTATAACATGCTTGCCACTCTAATGATAATCAAGAGCTTCAACTTTAAATATTTTTGAAACTTTGTGAAGGTTAGATTTACCATTAACAGCAGTTATATGTCCTAATTATTAATGGTTTTATGTATTATAGTATATAAGTATACTATACACAAATGTATAGTGTATGTAATAGATATGTGTATACACTGGCTGACAAATTTAACTATAGTGCTAAATCAATTTGTGGTAGTTAAAGCTTTATTTTTAAAACATTTCTGGGGGGATGTGGGGAAAAAAAAGACTTTCTGAAGCTTCTCTCCTCTATAAGAGGGTGGCTTTTCAGCTGTTAATGAAACAAAATTCACACTGTTCAAGCTCATCTTTTAAAAGAAATGTAGAAATTATTGTAGGTTTTAGACATGTAGCTTTGTAAAGGCTTTCACTCTTAAAATAGCACATGTAATTAAAAACCTAAGGAAAGAATCCTGTGGGAAATTTAACCATGGTATGCTGACAGTTTTTTTTTTTATCAGAAATGTCTTTTCAGCTGTTACAAAATTTAAAGCCCTTAATAGTTTATAAATTATGTATTTCAAGTTTTCAGCTTATTGTTTTTGCAGAAGGTGCTCCCCATATAGTAGGATGAAATTAGTCTTGAGTAACTGTTACAGGTTCCTGAGCAGACCAATTTAAATTTAGAATAACTGCATTAAATAAAATTGCCAGGATTTCATACCAGCTAGCCTACACCCTGTGTTACCAAGCACATCTCATTCGAACAGTGAATGCACAAAGAAATATTGGTCAGTAATTATGTGTCTTAGTTCTATAGCATGTGAGCATGCACAGTCTTTATCTACGTGATAAGTGCTAAAAGTAATGTGATCCTTGTTTTTCTGTAACCATTTTAAGTAGGTGCATGTCATTATGAGCTTATCATTAATTAAGCTGAATGTGCAAGAGTATTTCAATAAATCAGTTAAGGAGCTCCCATTGTACTTGTTCATATACTGTTTAGCTACAGGTAGAATTAGAAAGGGTAAAACTGAATAAATAAAAATTACTTTCCATATAGCCTCTGAATTAGTTTAGTGAGGTGTGCCACTTTGACACCAATGCATAGAATCTAGTGTAAAACAAATTGATGTCAAGCTTCTGCACTCAGGGATAACCTGCTTTAAGAAAGCTGAACATAGTGGTCCAGACACCACTAGCCACAAGAACAGTGGCATGGAACTATACCCCAGATGCAGCAGAGAGTGCCCCATGTGTATGGATTTATGAGTGGTTTCAAAATGCGGCTCAGTTTAACAGTTTGTGACCCCGGTGTGACAGACGGATAAATGCTCTGCTCGGGATCACAAAGTACCACAGAGGGTGGTAAAGTCAGCGCAGCTCATTATGGGCTGGGAGCTACCAAACATCCAGGATATCGACTCGGCTAGTTGTATTAAGAAGTCTAGGCCCATTCTCAAGGAGCCGTGTCATCCCAGTCACAAACTGTTTTCTCTCATACCATCCGGTAAATCGAAGCATTCAGTCAAAGACTAACAGATTACGGAACAGCTTCTAACTCCAGGCAATAATAATAATAATAATAATAATAATAATTGCTTACACTTATATAACGCTTTTCTGGACACTCCACTCAAAGCGCTTTACAGGTAATGGGGACTCCCCTCCACCACCACCACCAATGTGCAGCATCCACCTGGATGATGCGACGGCAGCCATAGTGCGCCAGAACGCTCACCACACATCAGCTATCAATGGGGAGGAGAGCAGAGTAATGTAGCCAATTCATAGAGGGGGATTATTAGGAGGCCATGATTGGTAAGGGCCAATTGGAAATTTGGCCAGGCAATAAGACTGCTAAATAGCCAAGCTGCAGATCCTTCAGCAAATCACCCGTAATGGCTACATGAATATACACTTTTCATTGTATTCGGCATACTGCACTACTTGGACATAATGTACTGCATACACCCTGGACACATCTCAGCTCTATTTATATCGAGCTCTGTCTGAGTTTATTCTATTCAATTTCTATTGCAATATTATGTATTATTATGTAACCTTTTTTGTAACCGATGAGCTCGCAGAAAAGACATTTCATTGCCAGCAACTACTGCTGCACACTGTATTGTTGTGCATTTCATAAATAAACTTTGATTGACAGACATTCTCAACCATGGAGAAGGTCCTTGGACACCTAGGTTACTGCTCATATTATTAAACATCCATCCTGCTGGTATTAAAGGCATTATACACCTTACCCATACCTGCGTTGGTGACATAGCATTGGATCTGTAGCTCTCCTGGAGTTGTAAGTTCAGCTAGGTTCATGTCCTTCCTGCACAGAAATGAAATCATGCTGTGCACCTCTGCTTGTCAAGGCCATCCATCTTTTAAAAAGGTTCTTGGAGTCAAAGGAGGCAGTGGTGTTAAGCCCACCTGGGGGCTGCTTTTTCTGACCATGAGAGATCCCGTTATTCTACTGAAATATGCTCCTAATATCTGTTCTTTTCATAGCTTTAATTATGCCTCCAGTGTGCTATCTGGGTTGCTTTTAATAAGAATAGCTTTCTGTCCTGTGACAGAGCACTTATGAGATGATGGTGGACAACAAAGCACAACCAGTTTAAGTATTCTACAGAAAAGAGGATTGTTATACCTATATATATTTGTAAAAGACTCAGTAGACCTATAGTGTATAAATCAAATATCCAAGTAATAATCAATTGTCTTGTACTGCCTTGGGTAATATGTAGAAAGTTAGCTTAGCCCTTATTATATCCTATCTATAATCCTATGAATGCCTGTGAGTTGGTCATGAGGCATTTTTCCCCTATTCTACATTAACCACAAAAATAAAAAAAACACTCTTAATATTACATAGTCTTAAACTTTTTCTTCTAGTGCATAATAAGAATTTTATATTAACATAGAGAACACGCATATATATAGAACTTCAGATGCAGTTTTTTGTTAGAAAAAATACATAAGCTTGCTTGTAAAAGCTTTGTAAATATTGCTTTTATTGTGGTACATGGAGATCACTTAATGAATATTTGGTTTGGCTAATATCCAGTTTTCTCTTTATTTAAAGTGAGGAAACACTTAGTTTATGATTTAGTGTGGTACCTCCCACATCTCTTTTTTTTTTCCATGAAAGCCAAGGATTTTTATTAAATTTCAAAAGAACTGCATGAAAAATTTGAGATGATTTTGTTTGAAATAGGTGTTTACTTAGTGAAGGATGTCAGATTTTTGTATTCATTTGTAAAAACACTATCAAAACAATATTTTCACATTCATAAGATGCCAAATCCTTTTTTGTTGCAAAGTGAGGATCTTTGGTAAGAACTTAAAGTTAACACATAATAGTTTGTGTACACACAGTAAATTCAAGGCAATGCATTTCAGAATTATATACAGTAAACCTTAAAAAACATAAACTAAACTCAAGCACATTCCAAAGTGTCTTTCCACGAAAGACAATTCTAATAAGTGTTGTATATGTCAGTTTTTAACTTTCATACTAAGAAAATGATTTGGAAGGCATTCCAAAGGTTACAAAACTGGAGTGTCCTTCTTCCTATAAATTTTTTTTTTTTCATTAAACCCCAGAGATTGTCAGAAGCCTAGAATCTTCTAAATACAAGGTATCTCAACAGATTGATGTGGTGTTAGCAAGGCAAGAACATAAAGTGGAGCTATCCTTTGAAAATATTTATTTCAGTATCAACATATGTAAATGTTCTGCAATTTCCCTCACGGGATCAATGAAGTATATTTCTATGTTGAAATGAATACACGAGTTAAACCGGAAGACAACATGGATTGGGAGTATTGTTATCTATAGCCCTCGTCCACATGTGCTGCTGGGTTCTGTAGCAGCTGTAATTTTGAGGTTGAGTTCCCAAGGTATTCAATGAACACACTTTTATGTTTACGATTTAAAATGGAAATAACATTATGATTTTTCCCATTGCTCTTTTTAATGGAAGTCTTGTTTTTACTGAGCATCAGTTTGTTTTGTACGTTCAAAAATAATCCTCTTTCTTTTCAAATGTCTACTCGATGAACAGTGCCGGCCCCTCTTTCTCGTGGTTTGTTATTGCAGGAAAATACAATGCATGCTGATAAAGTACTGCTCTTCCCACGGTCTTACCTTCAAGATTATATCTAAAAAAAGAGTGAATATATTGTTGATATAGCTGACATTGTTGGTTTACCACAAGTTTACTCTGGGCCTGTGCACAGCACATCTCACAGGCATTTGAGTCCCATAATAAATTAGTATTACATCTTTAGGTTCCATTTTGATATTTTAAATTAAAATCCGTTCCAGACAAGATTTTAAAAGTATTGTTTAAGGGTGATATTCTAGGGATTCCTGTAGGTTTCCATTTGCTCCTAGCAACAGAGCTGGATATGTTTTACTAAATGTATTTCTCCTCAGTCTTGTAGATGACCGCTGTGTGGTGCAGCCAGAGGCTGGGGATCTTAATAACCCTCCCAAGAAGTTTCGAGGTAAGCAATTACTTTTTTGACTAGTTTGTGTAAAAATGACATTTTCACTTGGTTGCCATCAATCCAGCCATATTTTCAATTACAATTGAAGTAAAGAAAAAACTAAATAAAAAGAAGTTGTGTAAATATGTTAAGTTACTGTACACACTGAATATATTGGGTTTTGAACTGTCATCTTCATATTGTACACTGTATGTCAAATATATTACAATACCAAAAAGTGAAAAAAATCTAATCACTACTAATTATTAATTAATATAGTATATTTAACTCAATTGAGCTTTATAACAGAACTCAAAGCTGTTGAATTGAAACTGTATTGTATCTTCCATCTGTGAAACATTATTTTTAAGCTCCCTGACTCTTGTAGTGAGCATTATCACAGTTGTGCCTGCTACTCACCAGAGACATTTGGTGTCTCATTTTATTGAATCTTCCTGTACAATAAATGCTAGCTATTTGATAGGCGATTTGCAATTTTAGAAAACCGGTTTTGGTATTGTATAGGTTTAAAGCTCTAAAAGGTTGGTTTATTTATGTAGATACAGTATATGCAGCAATATGCTTTTAATATGTAGTTGGAACATCAGCTACTGGTACAGTAGACTATTAATTGCATCACTGTGAGGATGTTTATTCCACATGCGGAGAATACAATGTAAGTCACCTCTATGTTTATGGATATGAGGCCAATACCATCCCTTTCTAGGCTTTCTTTAAGCTTCTCCTGCACACAATACTGTTCCATTGAAAAATATGAGTTTACACCCTCTTGTGCTTGTTCTATTGTTATAGATAAACATAATAAAAACAAAGGGAATTGGTAATAAATTGCTCTTTTCTAAAGCACCAAGAAATCAAATATATTGGAATCTAAATACACAATGTAATACACAGCAGTCTATTAGTACTTAGTACTGTGTGTATCCCCCATGAACTGCAGTGTTCCTACCTTGTATTGTGATCTTGAGCTCAGACCCGAAACAACTCTGGGTCAGATCAATACTAGGCCGACGACAACCATGTAGCTGCTGAAAGTGGTGTTGGTGGACCAGGAGGGAGTGATCATCACACTGGGCCAGTATCTCTAAAACATGTCCTGTATGAGGTGCAGTCTTTCAGATGAGCCATTAAGCCGAGGTCCTGACTGCTTGTTCTCTGACTCCATGACACTGTTTGTAAGAGTTGGCATGTACCCCGTTGTTCTGGATAAATTCTATTCTGGTCTTGGACTATATGGCCCACCTGTGTTTGCCCTCAATTCAGTTGATAAAGGTTTCCCCACCTGATCTACCATGTAGTGGGGCTGCTGGTGCAGAATGGCCACCTTGATGGGGGCAAGAATGAGTTCCCACCTGTATGTAGAAAGGCCAAGTGGTTTACAGTATCTTACAACTCAAAGGTTCCCAGTTTCACTTCATTGTACTTCTGTCATACCCTTCTGGAAGACAGGAGAATGCTGAGGCTTTCTTTATAAAATCTTTGTGTGAGCAGTGAAGGGTTAATGTTGTTAGAAGGGGTAGACTGTTCCTGAAATGCTGGCCCTTTTGGGATGAGCTCAGCTTGCATGACTGGTGCTCTGCTAGCTTTGATTGTGCGTCTCCGACTCCACCTGCGGGTCTGATGTCAGTTCTGAAGCTGTAATTGCTGTTGCTTTGTTGTCACATCTGCTTGTGACACTTGTAAGCAGCCCTGTTCTTTATTTTTCTGCTGGAGAGAGAGGCTTGCCAGAAGACAATATCTGGGTTTGCTTTGGGAATGCTCAATAGTTTGAAAGAGAAGTGGTTGTACAATACTGTATTAAGGTTTGTTTTCTCCCAAATATGGTTTCAGCAAACCAAGTCGTTGGAACTTCATAGACAATTTTTGTGATGGAAGAGTGGCGTCAAAATTATTTTCCTGGAAAAGATGCAAGGAGGTAATGTTGCTGTTAAACTGCAACTGTTTCCAATCTAGAAATGAACCATGGCCAAATCTAATTAACCTCATGTTCACCAACTGTCCTAGATTAAAGTGTAATCAAAATTATACCCTGATTTATGATTGTCAACGAGGACTACAGCACTGCTGGGCTAGTAATATATTTGGCACCATGTTTACAGTTTTATTTATTACTTGGAAAAATAGTGTAGCAGATCTGAGAAACAGGCACATCCTGTTTTGGTGGTTGTAGTGGAGAGTATTCCAATCCACACTTGCACTGTTTTTATTATTAGCAGTATTTACAGCACTTTTAAAACTGCTGATAGCGTCCTGTACTTTGTAGTGCCCTTTAAGATCACTATTTAAAGCTGCAGTTGAGAATTGGATGAAATTATTAAATTAATTTATATTTAATGAGTTTCACAGTCATATGTGTCAAAGTTTGGGAGAAAAAGGATTCCTCTTACAAAACGTTTTCTGTACCCAAAAACTGATCTTTAAAATTGGCTGATCTGTAAGAATTGCAGTTTTCTGTGCAAAATAAAATACATTTATTTTCAAATTATTTAAGGTACTTTACATAATACCTACCAGATATTGTCACATGGCATCTGTTTAAAGAAGGCCCCACAACTCCCATAACTGTCTAGGTAAAAACGTGCCTTCTGACCTAACGTAAGTTTCATTGCTCATTCTAGAAGAGTCCACTGCTCTTACTTTGTCAATGTCTTTAAGGACTTTCAGTAGTGACAGGCTTCCTGTAATCTTTGCTTTTAGAAGTTCAAGTAGGTAGCTGCGTCAGCATGTGTAGGCTGCGAAGGGACAGGAAAAGGTTTATTCCATGCTGAAAAGACAAGAGACTTCACTACACCTGTAGGGTGAGGCCTGTGAATCCACCTGAAGAAGGCTCCACAGCCAAAACGTTGAGCCTGTTTTCTTTTCTTTCTGCATGGAATAAACCTTCACCTATACTGTATGTTTGCTTTTAGCCAATCAGTGTGGGATATTCTGTTAAACTCTGGAATGTATCTGGTTGCTCTTCTCTGGACTGATTTCCAGAGCAGCAATATCTTTTCTATAGAATGCTCTTGTATTCCGGTAGTGTGAAAAACACCTATCCAGCCATGCTGTTGAAACTGTTACCCAGTTTCTTTCAAGAAATGCTTAGATCAATTAACTCATACAAAACAGGCTAAATGGGCTGAAAGGTTTGTAACCTTTCTTGTACTCTTCTTATGTTCTTACATGGTAACAATTGTACACAATGTTCTCAATGCAGCCTGTAAAATAGTTGAAAGTCATTTTTATAGCTTTAGTGTATGTAGGCCACAGGGCAGTCTGCAGAGTTTGTCCTGCCAAGTGTCTGCTCTTTCTGTTGTTGTTTATCCATATGTTGCTCGTGTGAATTAATACTTTGTGTGATTTATGGAGTCGTGAACTAACATATTTAGTGTAGTTTTGCCTTTGGGGAAATAACATCAAAGTTTTTACTAAAAATAACAAGTTTGTAAAGATTTTGCCCTTTTTGTAAATAACTTATATGTTCAGATGATAAATAGAGAATGATGTGATTTCTTTCTTCATTAGATATTTAGCATTTTAACTTTGAATGCCTGCTTACAGATTTATATTTAAAATATAGGCAACATCTATTCATTTTTTGCCCTATGATATACTATGTTGGGCTCAAAAGCATGAATGTAGCCCTTTGATATTATGTTTTTGGCTGAAAAACCTTTGTTGTTTTATATTAAGTATACCATTTACTGTACTGTATGTACTCTCAGCAGTGGAAGCTAGGTACAATGGTGCATGCAATAACTGGAAATACCCAACACTTGTTTAATAAGAGCCTTTCATTAAACATAAAAAGTAAATGTTTTCTCATTCTCTTCTTGGATCTTTTCATTGTTGGCAGCAAATGCCATAATGATAATTTTAAAAAGCCATTGAGAATCCTGGTGGCTCAGAGCCAAACTTTGTAGTCCTGCTCAATAAAATCTGAGGAAATGGACTTCAGTTGTTCCAAACATTTTTAATAATATTATAAAATGATGATATTGTTTTAAAACCAGTGGAATATGAAAAAGATTATTTCTGAAAATCACTTCTGTTCCGACAATTACTCCCCTGCATGATCTATCAGCATGGCGCTAGTACTTCTTTTCATGGAGCTCGCCATGTTTTATTCTTCGCGCTTGATAGTAATTTGTTCTTGTTTTGAAGCGCTAAGTACGCAGTCTTCTGTCTAGAGGCCGTGCTAGAAACATTCAGAGTGAAGTAGAGTTTTAATTAAAATGTTTAAGAGATTCTTGAAAAAGGGAAGTCATCAAATCCACTCTCACCAAAATGATAGACCTTTGTTAGCTGTTTGAAATGCTCCAGACAGAAATTATTTGGTCAACTTTTGGATGGCCTATTGTAATCTGACTCATTGCAAAGTGCTCTGCTGTGGTGCTTGCTATGAACACAGCACATGGTAAAATACCATTTGAATGTACAGCACAGTTTGACAGCTTACCATTGAAAGACATTCATGACCAGTATACCTAATAATCTGGAGTCGCATACATGCACCAGAAATACTGTATATTATATTAAAGGGGGTCCTGTTAAAGAAAGAATTGTTTGTTGTTCACCTTTAATGTCCGAGTTTGTGCTGCCATTGCACTTTGATAACCGCTACATGTTAGCTATTAGTAATTTATGAACATCTTTTGAAGCTAGAGATCTGAGAGTTTCTATGTTCCACCTGTGGTTTTGCTTTTATGCTTGATGATTGAGCCAAACCTCTTTAACAATAAAACAGTTGAACAACATAGTAGTAAAGGCATTTAAACTTTTGGAAAAAAAACGTCTAGATAAGCTTTTCTTTCCCTGGTATATATCTATATCCAAGACATCTGGGTTTTTTATTCTTTGTGATGCCTGTATTAAAGTAAAACTTGCATCTAGAATTCCCAATTTTTTCTCTCTTTTCTGTATTGCTTGGTATGTTTATATACAGTATGGGTATATATATATATTAGGTGTGTTTCCTTCAGTACACTCCCAGGAGAACCTTTTTTTTTGTTGCT